TGGATGATAGTACAAAGGGGCTTCAAAGCTAATTGCAGCCCATGGGTGGAACCTGGATTTCTAAGGTAAATAAATGGCAGTGTTAGTGTGATGTTAGAGCGATTTGAAGAATGTCTTGCATTTGAAAGCTTGTCTAACCCTATATCCCACCTATACAGTTGGCCCAATAAAAGATATCCACTCAAGGAAATCCTTGACAAAGATACACAAATAAATACCAGCATTCCTTTAAAAATATTCCTCAGAAGTGAAAAAGAGCCCAAATCCATTTTCTCCTTTCCACGCCTTATTAGAGAGAGAACCTGGGAACTTTGAACTTACTTCCTTTTTCTCCTCCATGGAGAGTTTAAAAGATGCAGTTCCTAAAAGGGTCTCTGCTTAGGTAGCACAGCAATAGTAGCGTACTTTAGAGGTGCAAGGTAGATAAGAGCCTAACAAATCTAGTGGCAGCAGTCGGAGGATCAGGACTCTGATCAGTTTGGGGGGATCTAGCAGGAATCAAACTGTTTTCATCAGGATATAAGCAAGTGGGGCAATCAGAAAGGAGAAGGCTCCTGTTTGCAGATCCATGCTTCAGCAAAAGACAGAAGTGGTAGTGAATGGATGCTCTCCATTAGGGCTATGCAAAGCTTCGGTGGCCGATTCGATTCGCAGGAGATTTGGCCAGATTCGGTGGCTGAATCTCTGAATCCGAATCAAACCGGGAGACCCACGTATCTCTCCGAATCGAATCGGAAGCCTCCACTCAGAGAGATTCAGCCATCGACTGTGCAGGCAAATACTAGACAGTGCTGGTGGAAGCAGCGGGGGGAGCAGCCGGATGAGCCCTGGCTTGAGCCGGCAGCCCCGGGAGAAGCCGTGGCTCCTCCTCCGGTTTCCCCCATGTCGGGGCGAGGCAGGCAGTGGGGCCAGCCACGGGAGAAGCCGTAGGGGCTGGGGGAATGATTGGGAGCTGGGGGATCGAACTGGGATTGAACAGGGGTTTCCCCCCAGCTCCCAGCTTGATTCCCCAGCTCCTGGTTCGGTCCCCCAGGTCCCAATCATTCCCCCAGCTCCCTGATCATTCCCCCCAGCCCCCACAGCTTCTCCCAGGGCTGTCGGCTTGAGCCGTGGCTCGTCCAGCTGCTCCCCTGGCTGCCCCCCACGAGGGCAAGGCAGGCAGTGTTGCCCCCAGGAGAAGCTGTGGGGGCTGAGGGGAATGACTGGGGAGCTGGGGGAATGATTGGGAGCTGGAGGATCGAATCAGGAACTGGGGAATCAAACCGGGAACTATGGGGAACGATCAGGGGCTTCCCCCAAGCTCCTGCTTTGATCCCCCAGCTCCCCAATCATTCCCTCCCAGCTCCTGATCCCCCCCCAGCCCTCATGGCTTCTCCTGAGGCTGCCAGCACTGCCTGCCTCACCCTGGCGGGGGTGGGGGGCACCCAGGGGAGCAGCTGGACCAGCCGCAGCTCCTCCTGGGGCTGCCAGCTCAAGCCGAGCCTCATCCGGCTGCTCCCCCTGCTGCTCCCCTAGCTGCTCCCGCCAGTACTGCCCGCCTGTATAGTCTATGGCCGAATAAGATTTGGCGCCGAGTATCTTTGGATTCGGTCAAATCGAATCAGGACAGTGATTCGATTTGGTGTTTCGAATCACTGTCGCGATTCGATTCCAAATCAAATCACTGTCCCTCCGAATTGCCGAATCTGAAGCGAATACTTTCTGCTTCGCACAGGCCTACTGTCCATCCCTAGGCAAACCCTTCTACTCTCAACAATTATCCACTGCAGCAGCATTTACTAGCATGCATGACTTGCCTCTGGTGCAGCCCATTTTCTTGTGCGCTTATGTTCCCAGTTCACTGTCCTTGTCATTCACTCTCCCTTCCGAATCGGTGCCCTCCAATGGCGTTAACAGGTGATGCACCGCTGGAGCAGCTGTGCAACTTGGAGCACAGTACTTTCAGGCATTAGAGAAGAGAGGTGTTTTCGCAGAAGTGCTAACCGTAGTATGCTGGCACAATACTAACCTCATGCAAATACATTCTGCTCTCCTAACACCACCCTGATGTTCCCATTGGATTTGTTAGTTTTACGTTCCTATTGTGCTGCTGTAAGCTGTTCAAAGGCTACCATGGTCCACCTTGGACACATCTGTTCTGCTGACGGATGCAGTGATTTCCTATGTACCACTTCCACAGTGGAATGTCTGAAGTTTAATTAATGATTGTAAAGCTGCTATGGTGATGAAAGTTGTTATTAAAGTGCAAAATTAATAACAATAAACACAGACGATGCGATTTATTTTAAGAGGAAAACCTGAGTTGTACATATTAACACATAGTGCATCTGTGATGCAACATGAAAGCGAGGTTTCTCCAAAAATACTTCCTCTGCTAATTTTAGTCGCTCCAGTCACCCTTATTTAACAGAATACAAATCTGGGTACTGCGCTGCATGTGTTTTTGTTTGTGTCGGTTTTTTTGCAGCACTCGAAGTTAAACAAGGGAGCAGATAAGACTTGTCGTGCTTCAAGGCAGCTCAAGAGCAGAACACACAGGGTTAAAGCAACATTGAGCCCTACGGACCATGTTTGAGGGAAGTCTCACAAAAGTAATTTTAACTCTCTCCCTCTCCCCGCCCCCCATCTTCTCTTTCCTTTTATGTTCTTAATTGTATATTGTCCTTCATTCTTTACATCACAGTTATATTTAATTCCTTGTTCCACTGAAACCGTATTTTAAAAAGTGCCAGTTCTTAGCTTCTGCTGTACAAAAAAAAAAAGTAAAAACAAAAAAAAAGTGCTGGTATTCAGTTCCTGTGAGCTCTTGCTCACTTTGAGCACTGTTCCTATTACACAATAATGTGTTATTTTGTTGAATTTTGGCATCAATCTAGCTTGTCTGGTCAGGAGCCAAAAAATTAGAGTGTGTCAGTCCACCAGTTCCTCCGCAGAGAAGCTCTCTTCTCGCCCAGCGAGTGCTCTGTACTCTTGGAGCAAGGCCAAGAAGGGAAATCCATTTTACATAAAGAATGCACACAGCTCAAGTGCTCGGAGACTTTTTACCTACTAAAATAACTTTATGGACAAATGCCAGTCAGCTAGACGCATCCAGCAAAGAACATTTGGCATCAAAAACAAGGTAAAGTAATCTGCAGAGGTAACAAAGTTTTTAGAAACGAGGAAATGGCTGTAAGTGCATTCGTGGCACATCACATGATTTGGCACAGCCGGTACGATTGGCCGGAATTGCAGTAAATACAGCCGCCATGTAAGGAGCTGAAAGCTTCGCCCTTTGCTGAATCCTTAAAATGGCGGACTCGCAGCGCACCAAGCGAAGCAAGCCGAGACCCAGCCTCAGGATTTTTTTTCTTTTCTTTTCTTTCTTTCTTTCTTTCTTTTTTTCCCCTTCCCCCCTCTCCTGAAGTTTTTATAAACCTTTGCAGATTTGAGTAGAAACAGATTTCTCACAACTTGCTCTGCGTCTCAATTTCACAGTTCAGCATACACTCAGGCACTGTCAAAAGCTTGACAACGTTCCAGGGAAAATATTAACTGTAAACCTTCCAACAGGAATTAAAGGAACAGAACGAACGTCAGGATGGCCCCTGTTCAAAACCCGCACAAGCCCGTGTTTGTGCAGGCTTGCAAACTCCATGCCGCGGCTTCTGCAGCTCGAGCTGAAATGCCCCAAAATACGGTCCCGCTTCCCCGCGTGTCGCGAATGTAATTAAAAAGGACACGCATCCTCTTTGGCTAAAAAGCACATGCACGTCTCTCCCTCACTCTCGCGGGCCTGACCAGTTGAATACTGCATGCTCTGATGTATAAATATTTGCCTCTGGCTAAAGTTCAAGCAGCCCTGCGTGGCTGCCAGACACAACAGAAAACCAACATCCAAGGGAAAGTGTTTATTGCCGTACTGGCCAAAGAAGCGACTGCCAGCAAACAATCGAGTCTGATTGGCCCCGTCTTTTGAGTGCTTATCATAAAGTACCTGGCCTGCCGCCACCCATGCTCCCACCCTTTGATAAAAGTTAGTTGCCACATTCATACGTTTATAACTAATGCTGGCCAATGTCTACGTCCCATCAGTCCCAAACTATTGACGGGCTCAAATGGTCTATTATCCACCCAACCGTCCTCACACCTCTGGGAATTAACCCTTTGTTAAGCCACTAACACCCGAACAACAGGCAATTTAAGCACCAAGAAGTCTATAGACTTTGTTCCCAACTTTACTTCTGCAGTGGAACCGGTAAGTTGGATCTAAAGAAGAAAAATTCAAAGCAACAAATTGCCTCTAAACGTTGGGAAGACATGACAGAACTGCAGGCAAAGGCAGGTCTGTGTCTCAGCAGCAAAAGGGAATAGGTCTGAAAATATTCTATACTCACTAATGATGGAACTCTCTAATGAACGATAGAAAATGCAAGGTTTTCGCCCCCGCAAAATGAGACACTCTGCAGGTTTATGAGATTTTAGGGCACACGGAACCTCTCGAACAGGGGAAATAATGCAACCCACGGATCGGCACATTCAGATATTCATATAATGACCAAGAAAAAAATATGAAGGGGAAAAAATTTGTAGAAACTCTGCATTGTTAAGGGGTTGGAGTCATGCTGTGGAACACGTTAATACCGAACACATGGCTATAGGTAAGAGGAATACAATCTACAGATGCTTTTCAGGAAAAATCAGTGGAACCCTACAGGAGACCTAACTGCAATCAAGATTGTTACCATTGCTGTCATCCTTGAAAATAGCTTCCCAATACACCAATAATCATAGTGTTAAAATCCACTAAATGAATATACAGAGACCTTGCACATCTGACTTTCTGTTCATATGATGATTGAAATAGAGGCCATTCTAATTGAATAGAAAAACTATACTTTGGAAAAACGTGTCTCATTTTCTCTGGGCAGAAACTGAGCAGAAAGCAAGCAAGCCCTTCACCAGCATGATACAAGCATTTAACTAAAAATATGAAGACGGTGTTAGATAATTACCTTAAATGCTGTCAGCAAAATACAGATTGTAGTCATTGTAACAGCTGCATACATATAGGTGAAAGTAGATTTTAAGCAGCACATTAGGTAACTTGTTATAGCTCTACCCCTGAAAAATCTTTAATCTCCTTGTCCTTTCTTGGGCTGGGTTTAAATAGTCATAAATTCAAATTCACTGTAAAACCACACAAATAACCTATCAACTAATCCCATTTTCTACTCTGTTTCCTTAATATGAGTCTTAACAATTCTGCTTGCCCTGTCCAATCTCACTCTAAACCACAAATGGGCTGTGATGTCACTACTGTCGATCTGCTTTAAACCTAAGAAGCCCAACACTAATAGTATCAAGACCGGCTTGCAAGAGGCCCAAGTGAATCATGTGAAAGAGGATCACAGAGGAATGTTCTGTTCCCACTGCGAACAAGACAGAATTAACTCTGAGATGCTTCCTTCTGTTGCCCTGTTTGTCAGAAAGGTCAAGATGATTAGCTCTTGTATACTCCGAACCAACCGTCAAAACAAAATATATGTTAAATCCTGATCTATTTTAAACAGACAAGACTACGCTCAGGAAGGATAATTTAAGATGCACTTAAGAAGAACAAAGTAAGTTACCCTCTATACCATGCCTGTTATTACTTGCATTAAAAGATCATGTTAACTTTTCATTCTTTCAAGTGACATGCTAGAAAAATTAGCAGAATCACCTTTTTGTATCAGCTATTAACAAAAAAAACCAAACCAAAACAAAACAAAGCATATCAACAAAAGAAAGATATCGTGATTTTAAGTTGTGTTAGAAAAAAACAAACGCTAAATTGGCTGTCTTCATTGTTTTTAACAAAAGCACTTTTATCTTGCAGATCTCCGTGGAAATAAATATATTGTTTTTGTGCATTGACAATTTCTTAACTGGTTATGTTTGAAGTCTACGATTAAAAACTACACAGACTGAAATCATTAAAAATTGTCCAAAGTGCTTTGATATTGGAGTTGGTTATACTGTGCAGAAGAGAAGGAACTTCTGAGATCTTAATTGACTATGCATTTAAGAATGATCACAATGATGTATTCAGCAAATTACCAAAAGGGTGCAAACTCTTATAACCAATAGATGCTGTGTGATGTGTGCAATGCATACTGGGTACTCCAACATATTCAAAGAGTAATAAAATAAAACAAATGGCATAAAAATTCTGTTCACTTGTATCTTTTTCATTGGATATCAATGTAAATATAGACTGAAGTAATCAAAATGCTAGAAATATAAATATTCCTTTTAAAGCCACTGAATCCATCACTTTACTAGGAAAGGCTTAGCTATGTTATTTGCAATTCCCTCATTGCACAACAATGTACATTACTGTCTGTAAGCTCTAATTTGGCATGGCGCATCATTAATGACCTGAATGGTGGCTGTTTCACACATACATATTTAATTACAACAGCTGAACAAATTACATATTTATGCTTTATAAAGGGGATTGCCAGTCTAATTCATTTGCTATGCATGCAGGTACAGGGCTCCATCTGCAACAGCATCTGCACAACAAGAGCTAACAATTATCCATTGTAAGTGAGTGAGTGTATCTGGTGAAACCTGTAAGAGATGCAATCATATTAACCACTTCACTGCCTACAAACCATTATTTTCTCAATGGTTCATAATATTTTAAATAATTTATTATTAACAGTACTACTACTTTGCATTTCAGCAGCATTTCTCACCCGCGGATCTCTAAGCACTTTATATATGATAATGAATGAAGCATTCAACAGCCTTGTGAGGTGAGTCGTTATTATTATCCCAACTTTATATGTGGAGAAACTAAGGTACACTGCAGGGCTAGATGCTCAGGGGATGTGAACAAATAGAGCTCCACTGACTTGAGCTAGGCTAGGCTGTTTTTGGTCGTCTTAGGATCCAGCCCTAAGAGACTTGCCAAAGGTGAGACAGCAAATCAGTAACGGAGGTGGAAATAAAGTTAGGTTGCCACAGCCCCAATTCTGTGATTTACACCCAAGAAAACTGGTCTCCCGCATTACCAGCCTGATGTAAAGTCTACTAAAGGCAACAGGAGAAAACTAAAACATTTTTGTCTTTGGATCAGGCTTCAAGTCCTTATTCCATCAATACCACCCAAGTTCTCTAAGAGGATCTCCAAAACACCAATGATTATTTCTAAAGACTCGTGGAGAATTGGAGAAGTGCCAGAATAAAGGAGATCAGTAAAAACTGTACCGAACTCTTGTTCCAAAGAAGAAGGAAGAACAATCCTAGTCATTACAACCCAAGCAAATATTTGCGAGGTGAAAATATTAATAGAACAAAATGAGGAAACATGTGGAAAAGCTGGGATGAACGATAAGTAATATGGTTTTATCAAGAATATATTCTGGTGAACAGGATTTCTTTATTTGTATACACAATTACAAAAATAATAAAATAATACGGTACAATGGAAATTTGTATTTTTAAACTGTTTAATATAAGGTATTAAACATTCTCCATGCAGCATTATTTAATACTGGCTTGGATATAAATATTCTCAATACTGTCAAATACTGAGAACTCACTGTAAGTGATAAGCAGTGATATACTGAGTTGGGTGAACATATTCATTGTAATACTTCATGCAGAGTTGTTAGGTAAAAGTCACATCTTATTTAACATAATTAACGATATGAAAGAAGAATAAAAAGTGCATTAGTGAAACTTATATCTGATACTTAATATTAAAAACTGTTGGACAGATTTCCAGGAGGCCGGAGAAATAAGAGAAGAGAGCTAGAAATATGAGAAATGTGGGCAGACAATACCATGAGCAGAAAATGAAATTCATCTGAGAAAAATACAAGATAATACTAAGAGAGGAAAACAATAAGAAATGCCAATACTACATGGGATGGCAAAACCTAGACTGCTATAAAGTCAAAATAGACATAAAAGTGATGATAGAAAGAATAGTATATATATGTGTGTAATGTAGTATGGCAGCAGCAAAGACCTAAGTGATTTTAGGCTGTATTTGCAAACCTGCAACAATATGAAAAAGAAAGGTAACAACCCTATGACTCTGGTCAACCTAGCAAGAGACCAAGGAAGAGCAACAAAAGTGATTAGTGACCTGGAGGAACAGATTGAAGGAAAGAAACATGAAAGAGGTAGAACGTATAACCTGATTATGCAATAAATCATAAAGGACATCCTAACTGACTACAAATATTTCATGGCACAAACGTGAAAGAAGGTGAAACAAGATAATATAACTAAGGAATAAAGGGATAACAAAGGCAAAATCACGCGGGTAGTGGTATCTAGTAACCCGTAGAAGGGTTTCCCATGGGATGTGAAAGAATACTCATTACTGGCACATTTAAACCTTGACTGGTTAATCAGTATACTGTAGGGAAGAACAGCAGTGGCAGGGTAAGATCTAAAATCTTTTCTAATTTCTATGGCTTTATAGAAATATTAAATATCTTCAGAACTTTGATGTATCTATATAATAAATCTAATGAGCAACTTAAGCATAGGATTATGGAACATCACTGCAACTTCAGTACCTGAAAAAGGGAACAGGGGGAGTAAACTAATCAATAGTGAATTTTCCGTTATCATTTAAAAGCTCTATTTAGAAATAAATAGGCTTAAATAGGCTACTTGGCTAAGGGCATCTGTAGGTCAACATTCTACATCAGACACTGTAATTTGCCTTAAGTGCATAGGTGCTCATTCATTAAGGGGTAGATGTAGCTGCCAAATGGTTCCCTGCAGTGCAGGCACCCTCCAGGGAGCTCTGGTGCTACTACTGCCTCGAAGACCTCATGGGGACATGCCCTACATACTACAGGACAACAGATCAACCACCCAGATACAGATCTTTCAACTGGAAAAGCTAGTGTATCGCATTAACAGCTCCGGGATGGCAAGTAGCCATTGGCAAGTGTCCCAGGTTGCTTCCATGTCAGATCCCCCATAGTCTGGGGCTGCTGGTCCCTGGATAACCCATGAGGCAACCTCTTTGGTTTTACCCCAGGCAAGAAATCAAGCATATGGGACAGAAGCAGAATTTTTTAAATAATATTTCCGTCTCCAATTCAGTGTCTACATTCTTATGTTCTGAATTTAGCTAGATTTTTACACTTGACTAGCTACAAGACAGAAAATGACAATTAGTCTAGAGGGGGAAATCTACAAGACAATGGTAAGGCCAATGCTACTGTGTGGATCAGAGCATTAGGAAATGAAACAATAATTATCCACAATGAGGATGATGGATATGAGGATGCTGAGGTGGATTTGTAAAGTCAGAAAGAAAAAAAAAAGAGGTGTGGCAACATCATCAAGAGAGGAAAAACTGAGCAAAAGGAGGTGGGGACGATTTAGGCAGATGTAGCAAGGAACCAGATGAATACATGGGAAAGAAACTTCAAACGATTAGAGGCAGGGACCGGAGAAAGAAAGGACGAGTCCAGGTGTGGCATATGCATGAAAAATTAGATTTGGGAACCTGCCATGTTTCAAAAGAGATGGCAGTGGACCGAAGCCTGTGGAAAAGAAGGACTACAAAAGCAGATCCCACCTAGCAGGAAACACATAAAGAAGGAGAAGCGGGGAAGACTTTCCTCTATTACAGCTCCCTTTGTTGGTGGGTATCTTGCCCTCCTTAGTATGGCCGGACTGGTATGCCTGGAAATCGAGAGCAGTAGGTGGAAAGGGGAAATCCACCGAACACACATCAGTAAGCCCCAGTCACATGCACGTGTAGACTCTCCACTGGTCTTCCAATGCACTCTCGGTGACACGTGAGGTTAGCCACAGATTTGTTCAGATTTTAACTTCTCAATACAGATTTTAAATACATTAAAAAAAAAAGGAAAAGTAATTAATGGAAGAGTGCCAGACAGCATTTCTGCAAGTTACTTATGTTTGCTCATGCTCAGGCTGGTATGCCTGCTCTAGCTCTCTCATACCAACTTCTCCATAATCATCCGGGTTAACATTACGCAAGATCAACGACTGCACCTACATGTCCTGCCACAGTACCTCAAATGAACTCTTCAACTTTGAAAGCTGATCAACAATCCTCTTAATACTGGGGAATGCAGTCTGTAGCTTCAGAGCAGAGAAGATTGCTAGTGTAATAAGAACAATTCAATTGCCTATACGCTCTCTGCATTTCTATAGTTTAGAAATCCTGGAAAAGTCCAATGCAATTCAGCAATGAACCCATTTTAAAATAAACAAACCAAGAACGTCTCGAAATAAGGTAGATGATTACTCAGATTCAAACAAATACGCTGAATCGAGTACAAGATTGTCCGAAACATTTTAGAATCAGACTCATTTGACTTCATTTCAACAGAACAAGAATTTGATACTGCAGCAGTCTTTAGTCCAGCGAGATCACTGCTCCTGCACATCACACTCTGGGGCTGGATTCTGAAAGCTGACCATTTATTTTACAAGCTTTTAACAGCCCAGAATTACTGCAGTCTATATTGTTACCCGGTGAACCTAAAAGCACAGGTGAAATAACTGCATCCAGTTCCACCACAACTGAGGGAAGTCAGAAACATAAGGTAGGGCATGGGGATTGTTTCTAAAAATGAGACTTGTTATGTATGTACACAATGTATGATGGAAGCACATGGAACGCTTTATATATAGTTTCTAAAGGCTCATTTGTTTGTCCTGGAATTGTTTGAAAAGGAATTCTATTTATAGAAATAATTCTACCTCTATAACATCTTTTCTGGTTTTGTTCTTCGTTTTTTGGTTTGGTTTTGCTTTAGTTGGTTAGAAAATTTGCATAAAAATGGGACAGTTCTTCAACTGGTGTAAATTGGAATATTTCCACTGAAGTCAGTGGAGGAACATTTTTTATACCAACTAAAGGGCTACTCTAGGGGAAGGTTAATTTGCTCTGTTTGCTCCTCCACTTTTTGACTCTCAGTAGTCATAATCTCCTATAATCAACACCACAATTAGTTACTGAAGAGATAATCATGATTTCATAAACAGGATTATAAATGCAGGCAATTGATATAGCACCAAGAACAGATGGATTCCTACAGAACAAATATTAAAGATTTTGGCTACTTTTTCTTAGGTTAAATGGAAGGATGAGCAAAAAGATATACAACACCAAAGACGTTTTCTCCAAATACATTGTTTTTCAGCACAGTCCATTAGGCATCCACCATTCCTCAACAGTTATTTTCTAAATCCACTATCTGATACTCTTTTGACAGTAGACAACAACGGTCTATAGTAACTCTCTACACTGCAGCCCTGTTGGTTGTTTCTTACAAGCCAGAATCACAGCGTCATAGACAGGTAGAGCTGGAAGGGACCTCCAGAGGTCATCTAGTCCACCCCCCTGCATGAGGCAGGACCATCCCTATGCAAACCATCTACTGTCTAACCTATTAGGACAAGCAACCCTGACACAACCACAAAAACATAACACCCTAACCTGTCACAGGTAAGGCAGTGGGATCACAGTGGGCAATGTTCGGCTGCTGCAAAGGTTGTTAAAACAGGCCCTGGAGATCCAAGGAAGAGGGCCACACCTCCTGCTAGGGCAAAACCCCCCACAATCCATACCAATCAGATCATGGGGTAAAATTGTTTCTTGACCACAAATACGGCTATTGGTTTGACCCTGAGCAGAGAAGCAAAGCCCTCTAACCATGAACCTCTATGCTAAGTGCCAGCAGAAGCACTTTTTTCGCCGCACTCAAAGATCTCCAGCCTTGGCTGCAGCCAACACCTAACACTTCTGAGAAAGGTGGAAAAAAGACATTTTTCCCCAGCCTGAGGGGAAAGATGCCTTCTTGGCCCCATGTGGCAACTAGTAAAGTCCAGAAGTCTGGGAAATGTGCACAGTAAAACATAGTCATAGCTGCTCCTAGCTCTCCTGACCAGTGCTTATCCAACCTCTTCCTGAACACATCTAATGAGCATCCTTAGGCAGCCTATTCCACTGCCTCGCTTTTCTAAATAGCAAAGAGGCTTTTCCTGGTATCTGTTCTAAACTGACTCTGCTGCAACTTCACGCCACCGAATAGTGCTCAGTTTTGTGTTGCCTTTGACATGGCAATCAATTTTACACAAACAAAGGTTTAATTTAAAAGCCAACCCTGAACAATGTTTTGGTGACACAAATAGAAATGCCAAGGCTTTTGAAGATTTTAGTAACATGTGGCTGGATATTCCTAAGAGCATTGAGATCAAATGGTGCGCACTGATCCAGAGCGTTTGTGGCATGGAAGGTGCAATGATCTCTTTCCCCCCCACAAAAAAGTTTATCGTAGAGCTGTCAGAACAGACTCTTCAAACAGACCATGCTAATTGGATCCAAGAGTTACAATTCAGAGGTGTAATAATGCAGCTGGGTGCCCCAGGCAGCGGTAACTTCCAGCTACTGCCACGCTGCCAACCCAGTTGTGCAGCTACGTTGGTACTGATTTTATTCAGCCGCCCTCCAGTCAGCATCTGGCATGGCTACCCCAGCCACCTCGTCCTAGTTATTCTTCTGTTACGATTCATGCGGCCAACAATGTAAATATGGCAGATTTTCTTAAGCTCAGGTTAGCGATACATCTTTCAGAAGAACAAAATATGCTTACAGATCTGGACATCTAGTTTCCAAGTGGAACAGTTCAGTGAGCTGGTCAATATAGGTCACTCAATTAACTGCGATGAGGAAGGGACGAGGCTCCAAAATTTGTCAACCCAGATGAAGTGACAAATAAGTGTTTTCTATGCATGGCAAAAAAAAAATGTGGGTTTTTTTTTGTGTGTTCAACTCCACGTTTCTGAAAGTGGAAATTCTGGAGGAATAAGGTCAAACTTAATGCTGCCCTCTCTGTTGCCCATGATAGCATGCAGCTCTCTATACCCCTGAAGAGAAGATGAATGAATCACAGGCTGACTCAGTCGGTGCTG